ATACTAACATGGAGTATTAATAATCCCCAGCAGAGGGAGCTTCACCCTTGTCGTTTCAAATATATGAAGTCAGAAGTCCCACGTCACCAGGTTAGAGTCCAACAGGTTTATTTGAAATCCCAAGCTTTCGGAGTACTGCTCCTTTCTCAGGTGACTTCATCTGATGAAGGAGCCGTGTTCCGAAAGCTTGGGATTTCAAACCCGTTGGACTATAACCTATGTCCATCCCAGTCCAACACCAGCATCCCCACATCGTAAATAAATATGTGAAGGTTCAGAAAATCCATTTACTCAAACCAATCAATTGCTGTCTTTCAGTAAACACACTGTCATAGTATACAGCTACATCTGAAACTAATGTAATGCCGTTGCCTGTGCTATTCTCCCTTGCTTTAAACCTGCTGCCTGTTCAGTTGAGCTTGATGTAGACTTAACACTATGCTTTCACGCAACATGTAGTGACTGGATTTTGTGTTAGCTTTAATTTTCTACTTAACCAAACATCAACTCTACGGGTGATATTCAGAGAACTTAGAATTTCTTTGAAAAGTTTTCATGGGATGTGCACATCATTTATTATTTATCCCTAATTTCTCTGGAGGAGTTGATGAAGAGGAGCCTTCTTATAGAAACATGTACAGTGATGAAGGGAATAGACAAGCTTGAAGCAGGGAGGTTGTTTCCACTAGCGGATGAAACTAGAACGAGGGGGCATAGCCTCAAAATAAGGGGAAGCAGATTTAGGACTGAGTTGGGGAAGAACTTCTTCAGCCAAAGGGTTGTGAATCCGTGGAATTCCATGCCCAGTGAAGCACTTGAGGCTACCTCGTTGAACATTTTTAAGGCACAGATAGATTTTTGAACAGTAAAGGAATTAAGGGTTGTGGTGAGCGGGTGGATAAGTGGAGCTGAGTCTCAAAAAGATCAGCCTGGGTCTTATTGAATGACGGAGCAGGCTCAAGGGGCCAGATGGCCCACTCCTGCTCCTAGTTCTTAGATCTTTTGTCTTATCAACTCATCTAACTTGCTACAAATATTGGCTTCATTCAGATTAAGAACCTTAAGCATTGCATTTTTAACATTATTATTTACTCTGGTTCTAATTGCTACTGCACTCTTTGTGTAGAGTGCACTCTGCACTCTACTATTTTCACCACTTGCTGTCATGCTTTGATTGTGCAGAATAGTCTAACAGTGTCGTTTCTTCCAGCTTTGCTACCCATACTTCTGAATAACAGCAAATGTCCCATTCTGCTGAAGGGCTTCCAATTAGTCAAGCTGCTTTTGACTCTTCATTTGAAACACTACTGCATGTTTATTCTTCACTCCTTATAAAGCAGTCAGTCTTTACTTTTGCAATCACATCTTTGGCTGCGTTGAATGTTAAAAGACTTATCATAAGGGGAGATGATGGCCTCATGGAGATCGCTGGACTGTTGATCCAGACCCCTGATGTTCTTCTGGTGAACCTGGATCGGAATCCGACGACAGCAGAATATATAGTAGAATTTGAATTCAATTATTTTTTAAAAAGCTGGAATTAAAAGTCTAATGATGGCCAAAAATTAAATGTCAGGAAAACCCCACCTGGTTCACTAATGTCCTTTAGGGAAGGAAACTGGCTTCTTTACCTGGTCTGAATTACATGTGACTCCAGACCCACAACAATGTGGTTGACTCTTAACTGCCCTCTGGGCAATTAGGGATGGGCAATAAATACTGCCCTAGCCAGTGACACCCTCATCCCATGAATGAATTTAAAAAAATGAAAAATCTTTCTGCAGAACTCTGAAGCATCAGGCACAAAGTGTGGCTGTGACAAATATTCATTGTAGCAAAACAGATGAAAAACAGCATACTGTCCGTGCTTCACCATGTGGATCTCCGTTTTGTATCTCTTGAGTTTTCCTCAACATTCTGGTCAATGCACTTTCCTAGAACCAGAGGTTCAGGTTTTTTAAAAAATTGTACCAAGACCTTCAATCACTGATGCTCAATCCATGCTAATTCATTATCCCAAATAACAAGAGATCCTATCTGTACAATCTCATTTATCTGCTATCTTGCCAAATGTCTTCTGAAAATCCAATACACCACATCTACCAGTTCCCCTTTATCAATTCTGCTTGTTATATCCTTAAAAAATGCCAACAGTTCTACAACAGAACCCAACATGGTATGATGGGCCAAATGACCTCTTTCTGTGCTGTATCTTTTTAGATGCAACTCTAGACATTGTAGACACGCTGACAGTCTATGTGGCTATGTTAGAATGCTCAGTGTGCTGTGAGAAGGAGCAGTTGATGTTAGATAAACATATGAGGGAGAAATAGAAGATAATGCTGATTGACTTAGAGATATAGTCATTTGGTAGAGGTTCATGCACATAAAGTATCTAATGTCACCGGTTGATAATTCAAGTCAGCAATGGGGTTCAATATCAGAGCTGGGAACTATTTCGTCTTCAGTGGATTCTCAACCAGTAAATCAGACGTTTTCTTCTGGTTACACGTACCAACAAATGCATCAAAAGAAACAACGGAATTCAAATTTTGAATCAAAACTACTGTCAGTTTGCTGTCTCTGAATTTCTCTGACATTCATGCCTGTGTTATTATTGTTCTTACTTCAGTGGCACAACACAATGACTGAATCTATCTCGCAATAGCAGCGAACTGGAACCGGGTTAAGGTGCAGTGACAATACTTATTCTCCAAATGATCTTCACAGCAAGCATTGGGCCACTGTGGTAATGTGAGTTTGAGATAAAGGGACAACCAATGGAACATTCCATGCATTTGTTGATGAGACTAACAGGTATCACCCAGGAATGCAAAATATCTACAAACACTGCAATTCTGAGCCATGTGAGTGGCATGGTGGCTCTATGGGCTACACTGCTGCCTCACAGCAATGGGGGCCCGGGTTCGATCCTAGCCTCAGTAAACCTATAACTTGTCTCTAAGTGAAGAGAATGAGCACTTGATTAACCTTCATGAGGCAGATAGGGACACTGTGTACCACAGCTGGGTTGTGTATGTGCTTCACAAATGGCAGTTGAACCAAAAGCTTGTGTGTCAGTGCAAAAAGCAATTATGAAGTTAAATGCAATATTGACCTTTCAGTTAAGACACTTCCATGTAAATAAGTGGAATTTATGCTTCAGTTATTCAAAGCCTTGGTCAGACTCCATCAGAATTCAGTTTTGGATTCCAGCCCAAAACAGAACTGGAGTGATTTACAGGAGGGTGAATCCAGGACCGACACTTGGAGGAACTGACTCAGAAAAGGCAGTCAATGGACATTGAAATAATTTGAGAAAAGTTAAGACTTGGATCTTGAACTTAGTTACTTGCAAAGACCAGCAGTTGAGAGAAGCAGCTGTGATGGGATTATAGCTTGTAGCTTTAGAGGGTGAACGGAACTGGGGACCTGAGAGGGATGTCAATAGACCACGTTCCGTAAACTAATAAAAAGCACATTGGCCGCTAACTGCATTTCCAGTGGAATGACAGCCTCAGAGTCAAACAGTAGACTGAGATTGTACATAAGGTTATTCAATTTAACTGGGCAGAGGATAAGCAGTGAAGCTGGAAACAGAGACAGGAAATTGTTGTTGCCTTTAAATTGGTTGCCACTGAGCAGAAAGAAATTGTGTCTTATTGAAGGTAGGCAATTGGACAGTGCATAGCAGTGCCTGAGTAGAATTGAACAGTCATAAGCTTCTAAACAACAAGCCTCGGATTTCAGATCAACTCACAGGCGAGAATGTAGACCAAGAGTCAGCAAACTGGCATCAGTTTGGTGAAACAATTCTCTGTTTATGTTATGCCACTACATTTTTCCAATTTGACCCCATGACTATCTACAATGCTGGAAGGTGTAGCTCAATGTTAGAACATTTGCCTGCACTGCAGTGTCCCTCTGTTCAACTCTGGGTATTCTTTCCCTGTCATTTATGATGCATAACATCATGTTCACCAAACCAGCTGTCGAATCGTGTCAGTCAATGATGAGAACTCTACAGAAAAGCATTGTGTCAATTGTACACACCAGCAAAAAAAAAACAATGTCCAATCATTCTTGAAATGGCTCTAACTCTCTCTCACCTTTCCACTATTCCTAAGTTCCCTGTGCCATTGGCTATTTGATCCTCAAATGTAGAAGCTAAAATGTGACTGTAAAGTATGAATAAGTGTAGCTGTGTGGTGCTATATTTCTGTCCAGCTCACTAAGATCTTCATCCCTTACATTTGGACTATAAAGAGGCAAAAATTGAGAAAGTAAGCAACTTTTAAAAAATTCATTCACAGGATGTGATTATTGATGGCTCGGCCAGCATTTATTGCCCATCCCTAATTACTAAGAGGGCAGTTGAGAGTCAACCACACTGCATTGGTCTGGAGTCACTTGTAGACCAGACCAGGTAAGGAGAGCGGTTTCCTTTCCTAAAGGACATTACTGAACCAGTCAGGGAATACTGGAATAACAAGTTGAGAGCTGGATGAACACAGCAGGCCGAGCAGCATCAGAGGAGCAGGAAGGCTGACGGTTCGGGCCGAGACCCTTCACTGATGCAGATCATGAAGCATCTGTGGAGAAAGAACCAGAGGGTAAATTTGATACCAGCATATGCCCATGGATTAAAATATCAGTGGAAAAGTTGACTGTGTTATCTCGATCCTGAGTTTACATTTTCTCACTCACTCTTCACATCCCTCCTGCCTCCAACTCAAAGTTCTGCATATGCTACATATACACACAATGAGAGTTCCACATACTTCTCACTATCTGCAAAATTAAAGTGATTGAACAGTTTGGAACCAGGATTGCTGACTTTTAGAACAACAAGATGTATTTCAGATTATGACATTCCTGTTCTTCATCTCCGATGTTGTGTTGTGCTGTGGACTGTTTTATTCTAACACTACAGCTGCACAGGTGAGGAAGTAGCTCAGTACTAGAGCATCTGATTACTTATCAATGTGTT